AAAGAGTGTCAAGAAAAATACTAGCACTACATTACTTGCATTACAAGTGAAAATAAAATCCTCAAATACATACATTATATATATATGCTTGAGCATAAATAACCAATTGACCTTTACTGTATCCACTAGGGGGTCTTGAAATTTTTTTTCAATCATGTTAGTCTGATGTTATCACCTCAATAAGTTAGCATAACTAATACAAATTAGCACAAATTATCCTAATTTCCCTCATTTGAAATGATAATAAAAACCCATTGTGAAGAATATACTAAATTGCCTCTTGATTTCAATTTTAATATATTTTTTTTATCTTTAAAAATATTTTAGTTGTTTCATTGTGCTTTAAAAATATAAATCATTGTGTTTTTAAAATATAAAAAAATTATTTTTATTTAATTAATTCAGTAATTACTAATACATTTTATGGAGAAAAAAAACTTAATACCCTAAATAGATGGTTTTAAGATTTTTGATATGAAAAGCAGAATCATTATTGCAGTTTCTGTGAACAATTTATTTCAAATCTAAATGAATAGTATTTTTGTAAAGTTTTTTAGCTTTGATTAATTTGTTATAAATTAAAAAAATAAGAAATTTTATGGTCATTAATTCTTAACAAATAACTAAAAAAACAGCTCAAAAACATTATAAAAACCAAAGACATCGAAGTTCAATCATTTTTTTTATATCACTGGTAAGAGGTGTTTTTGTATTTAACTTTTGCGTTAATAGAAATCAAATATTTTTTTCTCAACGACTCATGCATCTCGCCGATTCATTAAAAAGATTTGATAATTTTTTTTTGGAATATTGGTCCTAAAATTTAAAGTTAAAAAATAATAAAAAAAAAACATATTTTTAACTATAAGGTGAATCCTTTAAAATTAATTCAATTAAATATTGCAAATATCAGGATGCTATATATTAGTTGCAATCGAGTTGTTAAATACGAGACAAATCTAAGCATAAATCTTGGGAGAGTGATCATAAAAGCAACGGAATTAAATCTCAGCATCCTACTAAACATAAAAAATCACCCTCCCAATTGACGAAAAGAGCAAAATTTAAGGATTTTTTTAGTTAAATTACTTTAATTATTTTTAAATTTTGATAAAATAACATATTTTTTAAAAAATTTAGTAAGATAATACATTTTTTCACGTTATTGTTGAAAACTACAATATTTAAATGATGTTATGATTCATAACTATAATATTTAAATTGATATTATAGTTAAGAAGTGTTGCATAATTACAATATTAATTATATTTTTATATAAATTATATTTAAATTGATATTATGTTTCATAACCATAATATAAAATTGATATATATGGTTCTTAATTTCTCCGTATTTTTGAACCATGACTTCAATTTAAATACCATGATAATGAAAAATGACAGTATTTAAATATTATGGTTCTTAATAATAGCATGCAAAAATATATTATTTAACTAATTGTTTTTTTTTTGGCTACCATGTTAATTTAGATTACGTGTCTCCCTCTCCCTCTCTTTCTTTCTGTCGTTTTGGTATGAAGTGATTGTAGTCTGCTCTATCTATATGTGGAGTTATTGACGAGTCAGAGGCACCAACGCTCTCTCCTCACTCCTCTTCTTTCTGTCTTCCGACTCTCTTCCATTCCCATTCCGTTCCATAATCAATCAATCAAACAGAAGTAAAAGCATTAAGCATTTCGTCTGTACCCTCTTCCCATTCCAGAAAACACAACCACCACCAATTAAAGGTGGTATTTTTCCTTACAATACAATTTTATATTTCTTTCTGATCCTTCATTCCACACACACTTGCATCAACCCCCACTGTCTTTTCCCACCTTTTCTTTTGGTTTGGAAGACATTAAAACGAAAGGATTGCAAGTAAAGATTGAATGAAAATAAAAATCTTGATTTGTGTTGCTTTTTTTTCTTTCCCTTGTTTGTGTTTTAGGCATGGTTTTGTTCTTCTTAGAGACTCTGATTTCGCGACAACTGGAAATATGTCAACTTGTTATGATTGGTTGTGGTTATTGCTATATGTGCTCTTATTTTCTCATCATCTGCTTGGTTTCCAGGAAAATATTTTCAAAATCTTGGATTTTGTAGCTTAAAATTTTCTGTTTTTGGAACCTTGATTTATTTTTGTGTCTAATTGCTGATAAAGTTTAGAATTTTAGAGGTAATCCCAGTTCCGAACCTTAATAATTAACGGAGAGCCTTAATGCGTGTTTCACTTCAAAAAAAGAAAAGAAAAGAATTGATAGCAATGATATGTTACATTCTAAAACCATGGGATGTTATAATTTTGAGTTTCAATTTGTGGTGTAAGAATAAATTATTCATGTATGTTTTTTATTTGTTTATGTAGAGATGGGTTTTGCGAGGAAAGAGTATGAGTTTTTGAGTGAGATCGGGCTGAGCTCTCGCAATTTGGGTTGTTATGTAGATGGCACGTGGAAAGCAAATGGCCCTGTGGTCACCAGTGTGAATCCTGCAAACAATCAGGTTGTTCTTGATTCTTTTATCTATGTATAATATATACATATCAGTGTGTGTATCATCAACTGCTGCTGATTAGTGTATTCCTCTGTGTATTCGCGTATATAAGTTGCTTTTATGCTGTGGTGCTAAGTTGCTACGAATCACAAATGAGGCCATTTGATGGGTACCATACCATGGAAGTTACTAATTCCTTGCCTTGCATCATCCATCGACATTATGTTTAATCATTTCCTTTTTTATTGATTTAGGCTATAGCTGAAGTTGTGGAGGGTTCCATTGAAGATTATGAGGAAGGCATGCGAGCTTGCAGTGAAGCTGCTAAGATATGGATGCAGGCAAGTCTTTTTTTTTCCCTTGCTGTAAACCCTATTAGAATTTTTTGGGTACAAATGCATGAGTTGATACATCACATAATTCACTATTTTTGGAATATGCTTGCTTGGTGCTATTCTACCTGATGCGAATGTTCTGTGATTGACTGCTGAGACCTCTCAATTCCTTGCATGACATTTTCTTAGGTTCCTGCTCCAAAGAGAGGTGAGATTGTCAGACAGATTGGGGATGCATTGAGAACTAAACTTCAGGAGCTTGGTCGCCTTGTTTCACTCGAGATGGGAAAAATACTCCCTGAAGGAATAGGGGAAGTTCAAGTATGTTACCTAGCTTGCTTTGCTAATTCTCTAGTTATTTGTGTATAGGATGTTCTTTTCACTTGTGGTGAAACCAGTTTTTCTGATTTATTATTCATGATATATCTTGTTCTTTGATGGGCTTCTTCTTTCTTTTCTTTTTTTTTAACTTTGCAAGCACCAATGTTTGCAGGAAATCATTGATATGTGTGATTTTTCTGTGGGCTTAAGTAGACAACTGAATGGATCAGTGATACCTTCTGAACGTAAGCTCAATGATTAGTTCTCACCATTCATGTATAATTCGTAGTAATTTTATCTTTCTCTCAGTTGCCTTTTCAAAATAATTTCAAGTTTATGTTTTAGTGCCATAGCTCAACTAGGTGCAGAATGTCGTGGATAATGCTGGAATTCAGGCATTTAGCAGCAGCTGTCATTTTGTTTTTGTTTTTTTTTTTAATATATTCTTATGTTTTCTATAATTTAGTCCTGGAATAATTCATATTGATCTGTTAACAGGTCCAAATCATGCAATGCTGGAGGTATGCTGATCGCTTCTACTTTTGGATTCAAATCAATACAGTAATTCTTTTAATATTGTTGACATTGTCAACATTTTTCTTGTGCATAGATGTGGAATCCTCTTGGAATTGTCGGTGTGATTACGGCTTTCAACTTCCCATGTGCTGTTCTTGGTGAGTGCTATATCCTGTTTTATAAAAATCAGCTTTAGAAATAATCCAGAAAAACACACATTTACATTTTGCAATAAACAATAGGCTAATTGGTGTAAAACTATCCTGAACTTTCAATCAACAAGAACTTAGTCCCTAACCTTGTTTTAATCTGATTTAGGTCCTAACCTTTCTTTCATCTGCAATGCCATCCTTCCATTCAACTTGTTAAGCTTAATTAAGTTTTGAATTTTGTTCTTCTGGGTTTTAATCCACTTCTCTCTTTATAAAGGGTGCACATGCAGTCAATCTTAACTAATTGGCGGTAACATGGATTGAGGGATGATATTGACAAAATAGAAAGGTTAAGACCTAAATCAGATTAAAACAAGCGCAGGGACTAAGTTTCTGTTGATCGAAAGTTCAGGGTAGTTTTTGACCAATTAACCTAAACAATATACATGAAGATATATCCATTGTGTGGATCCAAGAGTGTTCATCTTCAAAATTGTAGCTATTTCTTCTGTCAATAGTATTTTTCTTAATGGTTAAGAGCATAATTTTGGATCATTTTCATTCAATCCTGATTGATAAAGTAGTGCAATTTGAATAGTATTGGAAACCGTTGCTGGTATTGTACCTCTCTAACATCACAATATTTTCACTATATTTGTTTTTCTCAAGTTATCAGATGGCTTTCTTCCAGTTGTGTGATGAATTAATTTATACTGCTGTTCTGCAGGATGGAATGCTTGCATTGCACTAGTCTGTGGCAATTGTGTTGTCTGGTAAGTCATACCTATCTTGGCTGGGACACTATGCTTTATGACATTCTTAGATGGTGTAATGTATGCACTGCAGTCTTGTTTCTTTTTATTAGATGTGTAATTCCAGCTTTCTAAGCTCATAATAATATGTCAATTTCAATCAAATACTCAGAGCGTTTTTCTTTTCCTTTTTCTCCATTATGTAGATTATTATGCCATCCTGAAAGTTTTACGTTTCAGTATCTTATTGGTGGACCACTAGCCCATTGTTAATTGTCTTCCTTGAGCTGTATTCTGAAAAGATCAATGAACTGTTTTAGGGATTATTTATGTTGGTTTGTTCTACTGCAAATGATTAAAAATAGGCTGCATGGAACTCATTCTCGCAGTGGTTTCTGAAAGATGTCATATTTAATTGGCCTCTCCTTTTAGATTAACTAATAGTTGAAAATTGGAAGTGAAATTTTATTTTTGCTCTTTAATCGAATAGATTGGTTGGGTTCAATTTCTGATCTGCATCTTGTCTTAGAAGAGATATTGGACTGCTAAGCTTTTTCTGCATCCCTTATTGGCATACTATTTCCATTTCAACCTCATTTCATACCTTCTTGTTGTGATCATATTTCTTGGTTAGAAATATAGCTTACAAAAAATTTGTTTGTGCTTGACTTTTAATCAAACTTTTCATCCTTAATTATAGGAAAGGTGCACCAACAACTCCTTTGATTACCATTGCAATGACAAGGCTAGTCGCTGGGGTGTTAGAGAAGAATAACTTGCCTCCTGCAATTTTTACATCTTTTTGTGGTGGTGCTGATATTGGTCAAGCAGTAGCAAAAGATACACGAATTCCTCTGGTTTCTTTCACTGGCAGTTCAAAGGTGTTTAAATTGTTTCATTAGAAAATATTGATTGTTCATCATCTGTACTGAAAGACTCTTCTGTTCATGGTCAAATTATATGCCCTGTTTTATCTATAGGCTACTCTCCTCATTCATTATATTCTAAGGCTGCCTATTATATTAGTCTTATTTCTTTAGTCTTGCTATAATCATCCACTGCATGTATTCAACGATGAATTTCGATTTATATTGTTTCTGCCCATGCTGAATAATTACTATTTTTTGATTTTTTTTACTGAGAATTTGGTTTATCCAAGCAATTATTTTTCCTGCATATTCTCTAATTTCTTATACAGCTGTTTGAATTTTTTCTTGGTTCATATACATTTTCCCGAGAACATGTACAAATCCCCTCTTATAAAAGGGGAAATTTTAATAATTATCTTATTGTGCATATTTCTAACTCACAAATACCAATTCTACAGGTGGGTCTAAAGGTCCAACAGATAGTTAATCAGAGATTTGGTAAATGCTTGCTTGAGTTAAGTGGGAATAATGCTATAATAGTCATGGATGATGCTAACATACAGCTAGCTGTTCGTTCTGTTATGTTTGCTGCTGTTGGGACAGCTGGTCAGCGTTGCACAACATGCCGCAGGCTGGTATCTAAAATCTGACTTTTATTTGAAAATCCATGCATGGAATGACAGCCAAAATCACTCTTACCGAACAATTTTCTTGCTCCTGTTGAAGCTTCTACATGAGAGCATATATCAGAGAGTACTTGATCAACTACTTGATGTGTACAAGCAAGTTAAAATTGGGGATCCATTGGAAAAAGGCACCTTGCTCGGGCCACTGCATACTTCTGAATCAAGAAAGAACTTTGAAAAGGGAATAGAGATAATTAAGTCCCAGGCATGTTGTGTTTTTCACTTATCTACTGTGGTTGTCCAGCTGTTCCATTATTTCAAACATAAGCATTCTTTTTTTCCTTTTGTGTTCCAAGTTGTCTTGGTTGAAAAATACTGGATATGCACAACAAATTAAGTAAAAAAAAAAAGTTAACTTGCTCGCTTTCATTTTGCAGGGAGGTAAGATCATAACGGGTGGTTCTTTGATTGAATCTGAGGGGAATTTTGTGCAGCCCACAATAGTTGAGATTTCTCCAAATGCAGATGTTGTTAAAGAAGAGTTATTTGCTCCTGTTCTTTACGTTATGAAATTTCAGGTACTTTCTTCATCCATCTCTTTTCTTCAGTGAGGTTTTTTTTTTTTCTCCTTTTGTTTAACTGATTTTCTTTCTTTGGTGAGCTGTGAAGTACATAAGACTAATTTTTCTTTCTTTTCCCCACTTGTGATAACCAATCACTACTATTATTCCTGTAGTTATTTATATAAGTGGTGTTTGCTAAATGATTAAGTTGCATTAGTTCCTTCATTTGTTGGGTTTGATTTCTGAAAGCTGAACCCTTTCTGCAGACTTTACAAGAAGCAATTGAAATAAACAATTCAGTTCCTCAAGGATTAAGTAGTTCTATTTTCACCCGCCAACCTGGAGTTATCTTCAAGTGGATTGGGTGAGTTTTTTCTTAGCCATGTTTGTAAAGAGATTTATGTTTTTCAATGCCTCTTGTCATTCTAAAAAAAGATCCTTAGATGTGAGTTATTTGATCACAAGTTTTGGATCCAAGCAAGATTATTTTGCTCCTGAAGTGTTTTCACTTCCAAGCAATTTCTGAAGGTTGTTTAGATTCCCATCCATCTTAATTCTTGGCATAATAATCTTTGCAAGAAATGACATCTTCATTGATATTTATTTAATTTCTTGTACGCAACTTAGTTCTTTAAAATGATTGTGTTCTATTCCTCTTTTGTTGCTTAGCAAAGAAATCTTTCACTTGGTTACCGAATGCAGGCCTCAAGGAAGTGATTGTGGTATTGTGAATGTAAATATACCAACAAATGGTGCTGAAATTGGTGGTGCTTTTGGTGGAGAAAAGGCTACAGGGGGTGGCCGTGAAGCAGGAAGTGATTCTTGGAAGCAATACATGAGACGCTCAACCTGGTAAATCTAAGAACCATTAACCTTACTTTGATTTTTCTGCTGTGTGCTCGAATCGAATTCTAGCCTTTTTCAAGTCAGGAAAACCACATGGAACCTTTTTTGCTCAACAAAAAATAAAAATAGCAAATAAATAAAACCTCCAATAAAATTGCTGCTGATCTTTTATATTAATTATTTGACAGTACGATCAATTATGGGAATGAGTTACCACTGGCACAAGGAATCAATTTTGGGTAGACACGCATCAAGGTCCAGCATTTCCACTTGTCTAGTAAAGCAAGATTTCCTGTAGAATTCTATGTTTTTACCCTGTTAGAGCCATGTCATATTGTCATTTAGGTTGCTTCTGTACTTCTTGTGCACAGGTTTATGAGCTGTTCTCCTCCCCTCTGGGTCTGTCATCGACTTTGCTGGCCTGAAATGTTATAGCGGAGCAGTGGTCAAAGACCTTCCTGTTTACAAACAACCTTTCTCTGGATTAATGATATTTACGGACAACCCAAAATAAAAAAATTGGCTTTCAAAGAATAAAGAAAAGTTATGTTTCATTATAGCCATTCCTTGGTTGTAATTGTATAATACAATTTATACTCTCTGGACAGCTTGAATTAATGTTCTGTGCAGTTAAGGTCTGCATTTCTATAATAATTCTCAGTCTCCTTGTGCTTTACGATTAAAATATTTATTACCTCGTACCTTGCATGAATGGAATGGAATAAACCTTGTGAAAAAGGGAGAGTTTTAGTTCAAAAATTGCATTATAGGCGAGATTCTTCACTTATGTGGTTGGTCTGGGGACTTCTTTATCGACAACCAAAGGTCCAAAAGTGAGAGAGAGGAAACGAGAGAAATTGTTAAAGAGCGAAAGAGATATGAAAGCCAGGGATGCAATGGGGTCAAAAGAATGATTTGCAGAAGCAGATGACCATTGCAATGTGGAAGGTATTCAAGTACAGATAACAAATCCACAGGGGCGGGCTACCTAGGTCATAATCGACTGCAGAACTAAAAATATCCTCGAAATCAATGGTGGGCATGTTCCATCTCTGCTTAGCTTCAACTCCGAGTCAAAGAGTGATCTTCAGATCCCCGAGGGTACTTTGTCGGAGAAACCTTGACCAGATAATTATGAAAGAGATTTGGAAGACGGGCACGCTCATGAGTTTGTGTTGAAAAGCGAAGTTGCATTGAGTGTCGAAAACTCATTTCACCGTTAGGTCGAGCATGGTGAATTCATCCTCCATCAAAGTGCGCAGAGTTACCAACCATGGAAGAGCTTCATCAAGTGCCTCCGTCTGAATCCCGAGCGGAAAATCCACCGAGTTATGACTTTACAAGGACATACAAACGTAAAACCTGTCGTCACCTCTCGAACAGTTGTCCCCATTGCCTCCTGGATTACCCAGACCAAGAACATCCTCGTTAATTCTATCATCATGCCACTCTCATATAATTTTCAATCCAATTGATTGCCGAAGTTGTTTAAAAACTCTATTATGTTCTTAAATATTTCATTTCAATATTTTTTTTTTTACTTTTTTAAAACAACTCAATTGAAAAAAATCTTTTCGTTCTAAAACATATGCTAAAATGATATTAAAAAGTCTAGAAAAATCGTACCTTGAAAAATAATTATATTTATAATTATAACAGTAAATAAAAGACAGATTGTGAATTCAATATCTACCACTTTATAAAACATTTTTTATTGAAAAAAATTATTTGGGTCCTTTAATTTTTTTCAATTATATCCTTTACTATTGAATTAATTAAAAATTATATTTTATAATTTATTTTTATTTATTTTTTTACAAGGAATCATAATCTCAAAAATAATACTGTGAATAGTATGCTGTGAGGTGAAGAATATTGAATTCACAACCTCTTTTAGCTATTGTTCAAAAATTTTATTATTTAATATTTAATTTATTATTTTAATTTATTTTTATAGAATTATCACGATTCTAAAAAATTATTCCAATGTGTTGTGAGGTAATGAACAATAAATTCACAACCTATAGTTATTGTTAAAAAAAAAAATTCCAACATGCGTTGATGCTCGACATTGTGGAAAACCAATTGTGATTATATTGCTTGCAAAAGGTTAAAAATAAAGGGAACGATATTGAAAGTGAAGAGAATTGATGATTTTTTATTTAATAAAAAAATGTGTCAGCGTTTTTTGATAAATTTTGCATAATTTTTTTTTCAATCTTTTTAGTCTTTTTAGTTTCATAATCATATGTTTTAATCTAAAATTTTATTTTTTTCATATTTAATTTCATGATTTTAAAAAGAAGATAAAGATGGTTATCAAAAAATAATAAAGAGATAAAAAGATTGACAGGTTTGATTCCATTAGTAAAAACAATCAAATTTAGTATTAAAGTGTTTCTCTTGACAAAAAAAAATATTATTGAGGTATGTTTGAACTTTACAAAACTAAAAGAGGTTGTGAATTCATTATTCATTAGAAATGTGTTTTTTTTAGGCTTTTTATTTTATTTATTTTATTTTTTTTATTTTATCCTTTAATATTAAGTTGATTAGAAATTGAACCCCATAAATTCTTTCAATCATCTTCTTATTAGAATACCATAGTCTTAAAAAAAATATCTTGACATTGAGTTAATATTTGATTTTATATAAAAAATTCATTTTATTGTTAAAAAAGACTGAAAATAAGAGGATGAGGATTGAAAATAGCAGCCTTTTAAAAAAAAACAAAACATAAAACAATTGTGATGTCTGTGCTTTTTTTATAATTTTTTTCTCAAGTTTTTTTCAACTTCCTTTTGTTCATATTGAAAAGAAGGGTTCTAGGTGTTTTTGGACTTCTATGATAACGAAAAAAGTGGATCAGGGTGAGGAGAAATTTTTTCTATTTTGATTTTGCAATTTTAAACTGATTTGTGAGTTTTTTTAGTTTATAAATTAGTTTATTAAGGCTATAAGAGTTTTTTTTAGTATTTTTAGATAAAAATAGTTTTAAACTTGCTTTTTATGCTCCAAAAAACACCAATTGATTTTTTAGTCACCTTTCCTATAATTAAAAATTGGGCATGTAAATAATTTCTTGTCTATTTTTTTTTTTAAAAAGCAAATTAGTTAGATGATGTGTGATCTATCTATTTTGAAAATAAATAAATAAATAAATAACCCTCATATATGTCACCTAAGCCAACAGGCTCATGCGTCTAGCCTTAATTTAAAAGGCTTAAGTATATTGGTCTATCCAAATCAGCGTTATTGGTATTTTATTTATCTTCTTTTAAAAATTTAGATGTGATTTCTAATAAAATAAATATTTTAACATATATAAAGTTTATTATTTTATTAAATTAATTTAGAATACATATAGATATTATTTTATTTAATAGTACTATTCAATATTTACTTTGTTTTTGTAATAATATTATAGAAATATTTTTATAATATTAGCAAGCTTTTTATTTGGTTTTTAAACAATATTTATTTGATTGATTTACTATGAATATTTATTTTTTTATCATATAATTAAATAAAAATAATTTTTTTTTAAATAAAATTATTAAACTCATTAATTTAAACCCAAGATTTTACAAGCCCCTAGATGTATTCATTGTTATATTATTGGACCATCGTTGTGGATGTGAGACGTCATTTTTTACTTTACATTGTCATATTGGATTGCAATTATTTCCTGTATGAATATTAATATTATTATCTTGCTTAGAAGTGATTGGAGATCTGCCTGGTTGTCTTCTACCTCATTCATGCAGCTGTCTTCTTCTACCCTTTGTTTAGAAATGGAGTAATATGTTGCTTAACTCTTTGCTTTATACAAATCTGATCTGGGAATAGTAAAACAATAATTGAGAAAGAAACACAAAAACCATAAGTGGACATCACCATCACCCTTTCCCTTACAGAGTCAAAGGTAGCACGCCCTGGAAGTCTGATTCCATGGCATCAGCCTCCAGTTCTGCAGGCCACATTTCCTTCTTTGTTTCTTTCTTTTTAAGTTTCTAATGGTAGTTCCTCGCAAACCCTCTCAATCTAATGGAGACGCAGAAAAGGAATTTTACCAACTTTTGTCACTACCTTCATGCATGGCCCTGCAGGTCCCAAGTACTGTGCTGCCATATCGCTCCTCTCATGAGTACCAAGATAAGATAACTTGAAGATGTTGCATCTGTCTATTTTTTGGCTTTGTGAGCTTCGTCTAATAATGTTCCATCAAGTAGAAAACAATGGAGTATGCAGGACATCTTTCCCTGCCGTGTAATTTTGTATTACTGCGCATAATTTTCTATACGAGCATTGAATGAAGCTGGAATTTTACTAAAAGATTTTAAATTCTTGTTTTCTATAAATTTAAAATTTAGTAGAGATAAACAATTGGGAAAGCTTTCATATAATGCACAAAAGTTTCTAGTTAGGATATGCAATATTTTCTTAGTTGATTTAAAAAAAAAAAATCTAATTTATTTAGGATTTTTACTACTTTTCCTTTATCTTTTGATTTTTTTGTTGGTTTAAATCAGAGTTAGATTTATTTAAGAAATTATAAATCTTTTAGAGATGCACAAACTATTTAAAAATAAGATATTCATAATAAAATTCGAACTAGGATTTATATGTAATCCTTTTTCAACATAATTTTTTGTTTTTGTATTTTTTATCTTTCTTGTGTTGTTTATGTCTATATTAGTTAGTATCAGAGTCTGATAATCACCAGTTGTTACTTGTTATATACTACAATCCTAGGTTACTTTGTTTGCAATGAGCTGTTAAATAACAATGGTTGGAAGAGGTTACAAAGCTAACATATTTAAGGGGAAAAAAAAAAGAGAGATTCTTCTCGAGACAAAAACATTCCGGAATTAGTGATAGAATACATATATAAACAAATTATGGAATTGAAAAGAAGTGTTCAAGTAGTGATAAAATACATGTGGGAATAAATTGAAAAATTAATCTGTCAATTGATGGAAATAAGAAGCCTAAGGGATTCTAAAAAAAGTGATCATAAACCCATAACTAGTTTTGAAAACACATTTCAAAAGCATGAGCAGATGAGATAGCTTCTTAATCGATATGAGTATCATGAAGATTTTGGTTATCCTGTTTATGGTAAGATAGATGTGGATTGATATTCTTCAATAATTTATAATTTTTATTTTGATAATAATAATATTAATAATGATATCATTGAGAATGTCCTTGTTGATAACTTAGAGGTTGAGTGCAAAGAAAAAATGTAAGCTGCTTAACAAAAAAATAAAATTATGCTGATATTTTTTATTACAAGTTTGTTATTATCAAAAATATTAATGTATTCAAATTTTGTAAAGTTTGAATAATTAATTTCTCTATTCTCAAATTTTATAAAAAAAATAATTTAATACAATTTAAAAATATAAAGCTTGTTTGTCGTTCAATATATAATATAATATCAAGTGATTCAGAGATATAATTACATCCACACACACACATATATAATTATATAATTCATACAGCAAAACTTCTTCTTTTTTCAATGCATGTGAATAGAAATTTTATAAATCAAATAAGTTATTTCAATTTTTTAAAAAATAAATGTTAGTTTGATTAAAAAAATGAAAAATATAAAATACAAATATTATAATAACTAATAAATATTAATTTTTTATTTTAATTACTAGCATTACAAATTTG